TACGTTATGATTATTTGAATTTAAGTATTTTCCATTTTACATATACACTTCCATAAATTAAAAGGAATGAAGTTATTATAGTTAATATATGCAAATCGTTATCAAATTGTATATTTTCCTTTTCTTCCATTACATGCGTGCGATATATATAAATATATAAACTATGTTACATGCGTTATATGCGTCTCTAATTATTTTTTCCTAGCAAATTTCAATTGAACCTAAAGCCGCCACGTCAGTTTAATTGATATGCTAATTGATTGACAACTAAGCAAGGTTTCTTTTTAATTAATACAAACTTGAGGTTACATCTTTTCAAATGTTTCTCAATTAATATATAGGGGATTGACTCGGTTTGGTTTGGAAAAAACAAGTACTTGGCATAATCAAATCGAGTAACAAGTAAAAAAAAATTTATACTTGTAAGTACAAGTCAAGTATCAAGTCTATTTTTATATTTAACTACTTCACTTGTTACTTGGTTCGTTACTTGTTATCGGTTACTTGTTTCGTTATTTGTTATATAATACTTAATTTATTCAAAATTTTGTACAAATTTTATTAGTTTAAATAAAAAAAATTATCTATTGTATTGTGTTTTCATCACAACTAAAAAAAATTAGTGTGTTTAATATTAATAATGAATTTGAACGGAAGTCCAACAAAATTAAACTATTGGTTTTTGTATATTATCAATGCCTATGGGTAGTTTGTCTTTAGCTTTATTTAAAATACTTAACAACTTATGCTTGGAAGTTTGTATGTGTATATAAAATTATGTTTTGGATTTCAAATATTTTATGTTTAAGTAGTTAAGGAAAATAGATTAAATAATGGAAAAGATAAATATCAAACCACATCAAATACAAAACAAAATCAAGTAATAAACCAAATAATATACAAGTATTCAAAAAAATGGGAATTTGCCACTAATACCACTTTCCTTGTACACATTTTTAACTTTACACTAACCACTTTTACCTTTAAAATTTTAATAGAAAAATACCATCCTACCCCTGTTTAATTAAACCTAAAGCTAATCTTCCTCCTCAATGCTAAAGACGACGAGGGGAGTTTCGTTTAGTAGCAAGGAAGCGGTGGTGGCACAATTCAAGATTGGTGTCTGATCGGAGTAGTGATCGTAATGGACTTTGAGATGCTGCTTCATCGGAGCTCGTGGGATTTGATCTGATTTACCCTTCGATGTTGGCACAGATTTGAGTGGTGAGCTGTTCTGCGAAGCGAATTGGGCTTTTGATGTGAGCGAGGCACGGTGGTCGCGGTGGGGTTCCGGCGGAGAGAAGGAAGTTAATGGGTTCGGGCTCCCCGTTATTGTCGACCCGATGGTGATGAGTACGATGATGAAGAAGAAGAAGATGTGAAACCATTGTTTTGGGGAGGTAAAAGCTCGAATCTTTAAACAAGTGTGTTTGTTCTTGTTGGGGATTGATTGTCTTTGATACCAAAGATAATACTTTGGTGTTTTCTGATACTTCTTCTGGTCAGTGACTCTGATTTTACTCTACTTTTTCATGGTCTTGCCTCTGGCATGTAGCTTTAAGGATGCTGCAACATATAGGAAATGTTAGAAAGTTAGGTTAGATAATGATAGATGGTGGAACTAAGCCAAAAATCTTGCACAGAGTCCTTTAGTGAACGATAAATATGGTGGAACTATCATTCTATTTGGAGCCAAAAACTTGTAGTCCTTAAGTGGACTATAAGATAGATTGTCGAGTTGTGTTTTATCATGTTAGGTTTTATGTCTGAAATGTATTTGTATCTTTTTTTTTATTATTGTGTATTTGTGCGGTGATTGCTGGTTGTTTTTGGAAATGGAGCAGATAGTTGGGTTTTATCATGTTAGGTTTTATAAACCTTTATAATTAACTTATCAATCTTCAAATGTCTCACTCTCACATATACTTTTGTATTCTTATAAATGAGTTTGTATACCTAAATTCAAACTTCATAGGAAGAGTTTGTATTGCATAACAAGACATATATTGCAATTGAAAGAAGAAGCATTTCAAAGTATTTGTTTGGCTTCCACGCTCAGCCTTTAAACTGAATAAGGTTGTTTTAATTGAAGATGGGGGAATCAGCATGAGAGAGAGGTGGTGCATCAACAATGGCACATCTACGTTTCAAGGATCATCGACCATTAGAAGCAGAGAGAAAGTGATACAACAAAGCAAGCGATTGTAGAGTAGAAACTGGACAAAAACGTGAGTGTGAACTTTATTCGTCTGTCCATTTCAAGAATGTATGTATACAAATGTGCAAGAAATAGTGAAAATGTTGATGTTGAATAAAAATAAAATACAAGAAAGAAAAAGAGAAGACAAAGTGTATCTAAGCAGAGCATCAACCAGGTTTTTTAACAGCTGAGATATCATCTCTGCTTCTTGTATGATGCACACGTCATTCGTAAAAGTTAGGATTATGGAAAATTAGACATATCATTCTATGACGTTAAAAAGGTTTACAAACTAATTATTGAACTATGATTATAAATGATTTATACAATGATTATAAACTAATTTAGAAAGGCGTATAAACTAATTTATAAAAACTTATAACTAATTTATAAGGGTTTATAAAATCATCATATAAGGTTTGTAAACTGATTTGTAAAGGTTTATAAACTAATTTAATAAGGTTACTAAGTTAATTTTAAAAAAGCTTATAAAATGGTTCATAAAGGTTTATAAGTTAATTTAGAAGAGTTTATAAACTAATTTATAAAGGCTTATAAACTAATTTTAGGGTTTAGAAACTTAATGTACACTACAAAGACTTTAAAAATAATTTTTATAATCTATAAAGCCTTATAAAAAACTAATAGTAATTTATAAATGATTTTATAAATATTTATAAATGACCTCTAAACCATTATAAATGATTTAGAAACTAATAACAATTTATAAAGGGTTCTTCTATATGTTTTCATTGAGTTCAGTTCTGGTTTTGATTAGAGCTAGATCGAGTTTTTTTTTTTATCTTGAGATGCAAAAAATTGCTTGTTATGGCTATTGGTATTGTTGTGTTTGGTTGTTGATGACTAAGGGCTATAGTGAGATACTTCCTTACATCAAAATGTAAAGTATTTTCAATCACAAAAGACACACATAGAATTCTTTGAAGATCTAAACTTTCGCTTGTTACTAGATTGAATACATAGTTTTTGAATGATTTATAAATGTTAATAAATCATTTATAAACTTCTATAAATTATATATAATTTGATAAAGGCTTATAATTATGTATAAGAGTTTTTAATCAGTTAAAATATTTTAATACTCAGCTTGCGGAGAGAAGCTATGCTCAGTTTTACGATTTCTGTGTGTTTTCTGATAGCATTGATGCTACTTCGGTTGTGCTTTATTACAACCAGGTCCATTACGTTGATGAAAGATGGAGAAAGATAAAATACAAAAATATTTTGTTATGTTGCAGTTTATGAACTGGAGAGAAGCAAAGACGATCACCTATACTACCATGAAGTTTAATTAGAGTTTTTATATTGTTAAGCTAATAGTAGAAACACTTCGGTTTAATAGAGTAGATTTAATTTTCCTTTAAGAGATCGGTTTAGGTTTAATGGATTAGATGTTTGGTTTAATTTAAGTTGCCTGATTGTATTTACTATGTAGCGTCAAATTATATATTGAAATGGTCCATCGTAGTTAACACAATGACATAGTCCAAAAATTAATGACAATTTTTTACGTATATAAAATTTAGGATTTTATTTTAATAGAGTAGATAAAATGAACTGTAAAAGCATGATGTTCTTAAATAAGCAAAGAAATGGTGGCAAGTTGGTTAATTTGGTGATTTATAAACTCTTATAAACAGATTTATAAACCTTGTAAATTATTTATAAACATTTATAAATAAATGTATGAACTCTTATAAACAGCTTATAAGTTCTTGCAAATACTTTTATACCCTTTTAAATAGTTTTATAAACCTTTATAAATAGTTATATAGATATTTATGTGTTTTATAAACTTTATAGATGGTTGACACAAGGTTTTATAAGCTCTTATAAAATTTATAAATGGTTTTATAAACCTTTATAAATAATTCTATAAATATTTATATGGTTTTATAAACCCTATATAAACTATTCAAAACATTTTATAAACCTTAACAAATCTTATATAAACTTTTAATAAACTTATTTAAACCATTTATAAACTTTTAATAAACTTATTTAAACCATTTATAAACTTTATAAACCCTTATAAATTCTATATAAAATTTTTATAAGCACATGTAAGTGATTTTGTAAACCCTTTTAAATTCTTATAAACCATTATAAACATTTTTAACATTTTGTGATGACTTGAAAACAAAACTTATGGGAGATACAAAGCAGGTTATTTGAATTGCTTGTCAATGGTCTTCCAACTCGAGCTGAGATCACATATGCTGCAAATGGCAGAAAGTCAAACAAAATTTCACCAAAAGTAAACATGATCCTGCTAAACATTTCTTTGTCTAACTATGGAGTTTGGATATTTTTGCAGGGCGAGCTGTGTGATGTTGAACAAAGGCAATCATATAGTTGAAGTTGTTTCGATGTTGGATACTATTCTTCAATACCAAGCTTATCTATACGAAACCAAACTCTAAGAAACTACTGATGATGCTTATTAATGGAAACAGAATTTGTAGTTTGCTTGGTCCTTCCATGAACTGGGTGTGTCTGGTCTAGTCCTAGTTGAACAATGTGTCTTCTGGAGCTGTCAAACCGAGGGTTTAGACCGGTTCATAGTGCTGGTTATGCACTGGAACATATGACAGATATTTTGTAACAGATGGAATATTTATAAGAGGTTTTTGTAACACATGGAGTATTTATAACTTTTTATAAACCTTTATAAAGTTATAATGATCTAGTAGAGTCCTATAAATCATTTACTGGTGCTCATAGATAATTTTATTAGCGTTTATAAATAATATTATAAGAGTTGATAAATGGTTATAGAGTTTATAAAGGTTCTCTGTCAATTCCCCTGAGTAACTGCTTGTAGACCTTTCTCGATCTTGGTTTTTTTTTCTTCTTTTTTCTTGTGTTACCGGTTTTCTGGTCATTCATCATTCCTCTCTCTCCCATCTTCTGCAATCTTCTGTATTCGGCTTCTTTTTCATCATCTGAGAACTCAAGCTCCTCGGATATCTCCTCGTCGTTATCTCCAGACGCATCGTAACCTTTCTTCTGCAGTTCCTTGATATTGAGAATATGTTGAGCGTACTCAGCGACGAATGAGACAGGTGTACCTTCACTAAACCCCTTCGGCACTTCGTTCTCTGAATTGAACCTCAGAATATAGAAAGGGAAACCATCTTGTCCAAAGATCTCAACTACAAGCCCCAATGGAGTTCTACTTTCAGTTATCCATAGGATAGAACCTTCAGCCAAGGGACTATGCTTTTCCATTCCCCCAACTATTACTTGTGTGCACATTACCTGGAATACCAGAAATCACAATGGTTTAGTTTTAGTAGGGGATTGACAAATACATCAAATAGATAAGCAATAGGCGCACACAGGTAGAGTTTATTTTATGATACCGAAAGAACAACTCCAAGAGGAAGCGTGACATGATGTGGTTCCAGAATGACATCCACAGGTGGAACTGGAGGAAGCTCCTGCAAAATTTTATAATAGTTAACCAACACAAAGAAGCCTTCTATGTGCAAATCTTAACCAGTACTCTATAGTCTACACTATAGTGAATCGTACTTATTAATCTACAAAGATAATGGATCGTACTTCTTTCAAGTAAACAAAAGATTAAGAAAATTGGAGCTAGTAACAGTTAACCAAGGCTTAGAGACAATCACTACAAGAATATCGATTATTCGTAGCACACCAGTATAGCGTTTTTTGTGTTTTTGCTATGGTTTACGACACGCGTTTTTTTCCATAGCGGTTTTTTTAATGAAACGCTATCTTTAATTTAGGCGGAAATTAAAATTTGATACGCGGCTTATTTTTTTAGCTAAATCTTTTTCGCGGTTACTTTTTGATAGCAAAACAAAATTAAAAGTGTTATGTAAACCAATACGCGGGATTTTTACACCTAAAATTTTAGTTTCCCACACAAAAAAATTCTAAGGCAAAAAAGTGCCCTTTCACCCTCTCACCTCAGTTCTCTCGAAACCTCTCAACTCTCTCTCAAATCCACCTCTCTGTTTGATCGAAATAAACTCAAAATCCTCACTCCCCCTCTCTGTTTGATTCACAATCTCTTTCATTCCTTAGTTGTCGAAGGAGTCATCTCGTTTCCCCAATCACGAGTAAGATTAATCGATCTAGGGGTCTTCGAGTTTGTCCTCAATTTTCGAATTGAGTTAGGGTTTCAGT